ATTGAAACATAGTATACTGTTTAAGTCTCCCATCGTGGCACATTACTGCCAATTAACAAGTTCAAATCGTTAGAATTATTCATTGGTCGTATTGTCAACGCCAGAGGTTTATAATAGTGTGTATTAGTAAATTAACACGTTGAATAATTTACTGTTGATATATTGGCAACATAATTTTGTTATTGTTAATGATAGTTCTATTATTTGTTTACTCTAGGAAATGACTGCTATCGAATGAAGTCTTTGTATACTAAAGTTAAAATACCTACGGCTATTGGTCGTCACTTAGTCAAAATGGATTAAATATTTATAGATTACTTAATATTCTTTAATGCTTTCATTAATTCCATTCTTTTAAAAATATTATGATAAAACGAAAACATCTAAAATTATATAACACTCTTTTCCGTTATAGTTTAATGACGACATTAACCTAATGTGAATGTCCTAAATTTTAAAGTTATGTGTCGGTAATTTCGCTTTAAACTAATAAAATTTTAATGGACATCTGTGCAACAAGGTGTAAGTATAACAGTGTAAAATTATTGATACTCTTTTCACAACTTTGAGGACAATCTTATCGATGAAAATATCTCATGTCATGATGTCGTATATTGTTACAATTACAACTAAAAATTTCCTTCTAAATATGACTATGTTTTCTTTGTCGCAAATAAATAGATTTTATTTATTTATTTCGCTCACTTGTTTCAAACCAACAAACTTAAGTTCATGTCATAGTACACTTAAGAAAATAAAGTGTTCCTTTTAAATATTAACTTCTTACTTATAACCCTAATATATACAATTTACATAATCATATAAATAAATTAGTACCATTTAAATTATGTAAATCTCCTAAATTTAATGTTTAAAACTTCAATTATTTTAATATTAATAGGTACTTATTCCTCACGTTTCACAATTCCGGAGTCTATTCAATGCAAATATTTCTAATCAAATATTTCATATTATAACAGTAGTATAGATTATTGAATCTATATTTTCTACGGTTTCTTCTATATTTTTGAATATGAACGAAATGCGAACTGCGTACGCTGTTACCACATACACAAAAAATCCGTTCGGAGTTTCAGAAAAGCGATTAAGCGTTCAAAAGCGGGTTATTTAGTTATTTTACAACGACATTTACTATCTAGACTACTTTAATGGGTAGGAAGCGGCGTCCCTAAAAACGATCTGCTTATACTTGAGCTTTAAACGTCCGAACGCGGAATAAATTAAATAATTTATTGTCTATTTTTTGTGATGTAAATGTTTGAGCGTTGTAGTTACTCAGGAATAGGGTTGCCAGGCGCCCGGATAAAACCGGACATATGGTTTTTGATCATATTAATTTTGAAAGTCACTCGCATTAGAGTACTTAGACTTATTTTGCATTCGATTTTATTTATATTTCATGAGAAATTAAAAACATTTATGGTAAATAAGCAGAAAAACTTGGTTTCTATACTTATATTTTATAAGAAATTAAGACAAATCCCTACAATGTAGGGTGCCCAACCTTTTAGCCCAAATATCCTGTAAAACAGACAGGTCTGTCTTGCTTTTAGTATAAGCGATCTGTTAAACCTACTGAGGAACTAATACCATGAGAACTTTGAAGTATTCACTCTATGATATTTTGAGATTGTTTTGAACTACTGCCTAGGAACATGTCTATACTAATATTATAATAGGGAAATATTTGATTGTTTGTTTGCAATGAATAGGTTCCGAAACTACTGGACCTATTTAAATATTATTTCACCTACTAGAAGCTGCATACGCGGACATAGACTATAATTTTAGTGGACGAAGTGACGTCACACAGCTAGGTAGTTATAAATATTGTGTTAGAGCGAGGTATGCGCCATAGCAACTTTTGTAGTCTGTATTATTATTTTATTCTCGGACAGGTTTGTTGTATTTGTTTAGAGGAACAAATAATATTTTTTTTTTTTCACTGTCCTTAGTACAGATTTTTATTCCATAATTAATTATAATAATTAAGTAAAATTAAAATTTTATAAGAACTCGATAGTGCAGTGTTTAGGACGTTCTTACTGGGATGGGTGACCAAAAAAATATTATCTTTAGCCCATCTGCGCTTTAGAAAACAAGTTGTCCAGTTAGTCGACACGGCATTTTTACTAGCTAATACCAATCCACAATGGGCCATTTTCTCCCTATTCGATTACATCCAAAAAGGAAGCCTGTGCCCCAGCAGGTGGGTTAATTAATAAAATGATGATGATATTTAGTTTGTGTAACAAAGTTGCTGCCATTTTCTTGCTAGTTTATAAAACTCCCTAACTAAACCATGGCCTAACTCCTCTAGCAATAATAAAATAACTTTAACCATAGAATACAATACCTACAGATTATAGCGCTATATCGTTCATTTTACTATTTTGACATATACTTAAATAACAACGAATGAATGATAAATATAGAGTTCACAGCAGTGTTTCCAACTTTAGTAATTTCTCCCGAATTTATCCACCAAAAGCATTTCAAAGTGGATAAAACGAATTATCGTTATAATATTCGCTAAAATGTAGAATCTAAATTTAGGCTACAGAGATAATCGGTCGCACCCCTGCTGCATTGTATTGTAGAGGTTTTACATTTTAAGATATCCAAAGAGGTAATGGTACTCTTATACTGAAACTCCGTTGTACACTCCATTGTGCATCCGTCCCAGAGAATCCGTCCGTTCATAATCATGCATTTCTGTTGGCACTATATGAAAAAATATAAAAAAAAATACAATAAAATAAATAAACCGAACGTGAATTTATTTTGGTACGGAGCCCTTCGAGCGCGAGACAGATTCGGACTTAGCCGGTATTTTAACCTTCGTAATAATAACCTTCTTTAAAGCCAGCTTACGTTTGTTAAGTTAATTAAAGCACATTTTTGGATGCACATCTTCATTTGTAAGCTATACTCGTGGCAAGTGGAACATAATTTTCATTTAATAGCATACACCAAACTGAAGACAAACATGCCCACGACTAACTTTCACAGTCGTAAATCTTTATTTATTATTATTTACGAACTTTCATATAGGACGAAAGGTCGTATATTATCTTTTAGAAGTGATAATTTTTGTAGTGATTTCCGCAAGTTGCTGTTCAGGAGTATCGACTCTTACTCTGTAAATTATTAGGAAATAATTGAAATGTTTTTATTTGAATACTAGGCGTTTTTCCACGACTTCATCCGAATAAATTGTAACCTATTCTATATTATTTTCGTGTTCTCATCAGTATTTCCAAAGATTACCTCCCTACAAACAAACAAACATAAAAAGTTAGAAATTTTACTTCTTTATAATATAATAATCAACTGCTCAGTAAAGTCAAAAGAAAATTAAAGTCCTTGTACAAGTTGTCTCCAAACCTTACAAGTTTTTTCACATTCTATTCATAATTATACTCTTTTTTTTATAAAGAAAAGTGAATCATTTCATAGTATATGCAACACTTTTACAATAATCGATTAAAAACCTTTTTAGGGTACCGTAGTAAACTAGAAACCTTTATAGTTTCGCCACGTCCGTCTGTCCCTCCGTTCGCGGTTTAACTCAAAAACTATTAGTACTAGAAAGCTGTAATTTAGCATGAGTATACGTTAATTACGGAGTGGTAAAGTAAAATTTCTCCCCTACATGCAAAGTGGAGATGATAATTTATTTTTTATTTTCCCTATAGTGTGGTGCATCATTAGATAACTCTTTCAAAAACATTGGGGATGAGGAAAAACCGTTTTACAATTTAGTAAACCGTTCATGACTTATTAAGCTTTATATAGCTTATTTTCATTAGAGTCAAGTATCCCCACCCCTTTCAACTTCTAAACGGTTGTTAGTGAAAATTCAAAAGTTACAGCAATAGTACCTAATACATATAATGAAATTAAAAGAGAAACTATCACAGTTGAGCTGGCTTTACAAGTTTACGAGTAATAATCGACCAATTTTATACTCGAAAATTTCAAACAACTCCATATAAAACAACAAAGGTGATTTTTTTACTTTTTAATAGATAATGCTACGGAACACGGCGAGTACGACTCTAACTTTAGCGGTTTTTTTTAATTAATTACTAGTAAATTATAAGATACGATTATTGTAAAAGTGCTACATAATTCTTTCGACTACGAAGTGACATATATATATATATCTTTCATTGACCTGTTCAAAGACTAATTACGACCAAAAATGGAAAAATCATTACATTTTTTTTTTTTAAGTAACTTTGTTATTTTTTTTTAAGCAAATGTAAAATATATATTTTTTGGGTGTACGTGACCTCTAAAAAACAAAACATAAACATGGAAATTCAGTGTTTTTGTATTATTCACCTCTGACATAATCAGTGTTATTAATAAACAGGGTTTAGAGTTGGTATAAATGTACATACGCTGGGACTGCACTTAGTATTACTCAAAATTCATATTAATAAACAGAGACTTAGCGAAGGTTAACCTAGTATGAGATACTTCGGGAGTAGTGGGTTTGCTTATTTCCTGTTATAATATGAATTAGAACCAATACCAACATTGCAATTTTAACGTAAATTTACTCTGAAGCTAAACTTTGTTTATTAATAGCACCGAATTTTTATAAAAAACATGTCAACTAATAAACTACAACATTTTCACATTATTGACGATGTAGTGAATTCCATGTAACTCAAACAGACTTTTAAATAAAAAGCTATTGAAAGCATAGCCGTGAAATCCTCGTCTGAATTGAATTAACTTTGAATAATGAATTTGTTACCTTGTAGTTTTTAAAAAAGATTTTACTACACATTTTGCAAATCGTTTTTGTTAATATAATTTATGGAAAGAATGATCTACAGTCAACATTCTCAAACAGGTTTTAATTGGGATTGAATTACCGAATTTGATCAAATTAAATTTTTCAATAATAAGTTTACAGTTAAACAAACCAAAAACTTAATATAACAAAATCCAAGCAAATAGTTTCATTGTTTCTTCGGTCTAGCGTACTTGCGCATCATTTCTAGTCTATCTATCTCTTTCTTTCGTTCTTCTGGTGTCATCCAAAAACTCTCCTCATCGTCTTCCGGGATGGGCATCCACTGATGACCCTGATACAGATAAGATTTGCCTCCTCTGCTCCGGAACCCTGCTCGAGCTGCTTCGTCTTGAATATGTTTCTTGGAAGGTATATCTTCTTTTCTAGACATAAGAAAGACCGTTTCTCGCTGTGGAAATATATATTTTTTACATTTTATTGTGTATAAAATAGTTTGTCGAGTTACAGATACATCTTGACAGATTTCGTTCTAAATTAAAAAAAATAATAATATCACAGACTTAATTTATTAAACTTGGATTTTCTTTTGACCAAGAAATAAAAAAAACGTGGTCGTTATGGCTTTTTAAACTATATCTAGTGCAAAATCCTGCAATTAATACTTTGCTATTTGATTTTATAGTATATCTAATTTTAAATATGGTAAGGTAATTTTTCTTTACTTCCTACTGATGACTGAGAAGACACACAATTAGACAATTAATTTAAAAAAATCAAATCGAAGAGATAATGTCTCTCGATAATGTCAGTATCAAAATATTACTTTCATCTAAGAAGATGGCATAACATATTACGTAATGATGCTACATTACGTGCGCTAACAATCTATTTAAATGATTGTGGGGTTTAGATTTAAGTATTTTTTTCATATTTAAAATAAATAATATACCTGACACTCCATATAAGCAATGTATTTGCCATTATTAATCTGCTTGAATCTAACGTCCATGGGTGCAATCTTTGGTGATTTTTTCGTGCCTGAAATTATATAAATCTATTAATTGGTTCAGAGATTGTTTTTAAAATATTTAAAATTAATAAATAAATTAGTTTTTTTTTCGCTCTGGCAAATGGCGGTACTGTACGAAAGAAAAGGATAGGGCGACGGAAAAATAAATACCGTACTGGCAATATAACTTAACCATATGATTTTATTTTTATTGATTTTTTCTTTGGAAAACACACAGTGTCGATTTAACTAGAGTATTATCAAATATGGTAAACTGTTTTCTTTTTCTCTTATGTACTTATTTGCACAAAAAACTTAAATAAGGAACAATAAAGAAATTACAGACTAACATCAGCTAAGGAATCATAACAGACGTGGTATTGGAGATTAAAACTTACGTTTAAGAAATGCGTACTTCAAAAACTGACCCCTATCACCGTTTTCAACTATTAAGGAGGACTGGTGGTGTTTCATTTCCTTCATCACTACGAACCGTGCCGTCCAGTTAATTGGTACGGTCACGTGTTCGTCAAGTAAATAGTGCAAATAAGCCTTACCCTGAAACCAAAGAGGTTTTATAACTCTAAATTCCTAGATTTTAGCGACTCTCAAATTTCTCAGAATATGTATTATTTTCACTGTTAGATAATAATAGTTATATTGAGTTAGTGATTCTTACTTAGTTGAAGATATTTACTTGAAGTTATTTAGATTGGTTTTTTGCAATAATTGCTGTTCTAATTATTGGTTTTAATACTAAAAGTGGTAGATTTTGCCCGCGACATAGTCCGCGTGTTATAGTTACTTTGGACATCATTTCTAAAAACGCTATAAACAAATATTTATTCATTATATCCTGAATATTTTTGTTTCATTGTTTTTTCTATAACAATGACGAACTTCCATACAATCTTTAATTCCTTATCACAATCACATCAACCCTTTTATCACAATAAAAAGCAACCTGTATGAAGCGTAAAACAGATCTACTATCGCATGTATAATATTGGTATTTAATATAGAATAATTAAATGATTCTCTTTGTCTCTCATTCCATCATGTAATAAAAGATTACTAGACATTTACCGGAATAAATAGACTGAGAACAAATAAATTTTTTAAAACTACAATTTAAAAAAAATAGTTTTTTTTATAAAACTCTTTCTCTATAAACCACATTTTTAGTTATATTTCGAGGCTGCAGTGTAAATAACAGGCTAACTTACTAGTGTCTTAGATCTACGCCAGCTACTTCTAATGTTTGGTCCTATGCCTTATTAATAGTCATGGCATAACACAATTTAACTGTATATTAGAGGAATCCGCGGTATGAAAAGAATGAAACCAAAATACCCAGAATTCCTGACTGGGTCTGCGTGGAGGGCCCAATGAAGATTGGTTGTGCTAAAGCACTATATTGTTAATGGATGAAACCAAAACACACAGAATTCTAAGAGCCCGCGTGAAGGTTATACTTTGTTTAGGTACTGTTATATTTATTATTGTATTTTTTATGTATGTATGCATATTTATGTATGTTTATTTATGTATGATCTAGTATGTAGGTATGTTTATATATGAAAACATGTTTTTCTCGCTATGTAAGACACCATCTACTTAAGTAATAGTCCAGTCTAACCTGCTGTCGCCTGGAAAAATTGCTTTTGTAGCGATTAGGCCGCTGATTGTACTACTAAATTGTATCGATTATGGTGAACAATAAAAGTACTCATTCATTTAAAGTCCCAATGCGGATAGGTGGTGCTAAAGCACATCCCAGATAGCAATTTAAACTTGTTTCTGACTTGCAATAAGTTTGATACATCAAAAAAAAAAGACTTGCTTCAAGTTTGCCATGACAACTGCAGCAACTTGCAGCAAGATTAAATCAAACTTTCTAGTTTCAGTGAGGCAAGCTTGCACTACCTTTGACGTATAAAAGGTAGTGCAAGTGTACGTAGGAAAATTATTATTACTACTACCGTAGTAGTAATAACAATCTTCCTTTTTGTATTTATAACATTTTTTTATAATTTGACTCGAGTACCTGGAATACACGTTTCGAGGCAAATATTACTTTAAGTTTACTAAGTTTTACAAACGCGATTGTGACTTTAAACTCAGACCACAGCACATAGCCCAGCCTAAGAGCCAAAGTGATTAACTAGAACGGTTGGTTTTGAATCCCATATTAAGATCACATTAAACGGCATATTACTTATACAATATAAACCAATACCGCAAACAGCGCCATCTAGTTTGCAGACTTAGAACTATTCGGACACCTATGAAGATGATGGATGTGTTACATATTAATTTCTTTGTCATAACAATGTCATAACAATGTCGCAATCTTGAAACTTCATTTTTAACATAAAAATATTGCAACGACATTGTCACAAACTTGCCTCGTATATTGGACGCAGCAATTTAGAATCAAAGAAAAATTAAACTTGCCCCAAGTTAGCATTCTAACTGGGATATATTCTATCCAGTAATACTCACTGGGTCCGCTTGGTCGTCCTTAATCGTTCCGCCGAAAAAAATTTGACCATTTCTATCGTCGCTTAACCTCCGCAATCGCAAATCAAACGCGCTAAACACTACACCATCGAGTGATGAAGTACGATTGCGCAACAGTAACTATACCACGCGGACGAAGTCGCAGGCAAAAGCTAATATACGTATTCTGGGGTGACATGTTATTATAGTTACAAAGTATTAAATGATAATATAATATAGATTTTTATTATTAAATTCATATTAAAAGGCTCCTCTGATGTCACATAGTTGACATTAAGATTCTTAAATATTTGATAATCTTCTATATACTTACAGGTGGGGGTGGGTATTCAAACTGATATACTGCAAGAGGCATAGTAGGCCCCCAATAGTAAAACACGAACCAATTATCATTCAGTACCGAATGAGGATTGAATCTAGCAAACTGACTGAACTCGGCACATGTTGTCGCATTCCTCAATCCGTCAGGGAACTGTCCGGAGCCTCCAGAAACTCGTGTGATCAAAACAAATATTATAACCAAAAAAACAATATATTTGGCAACACTTTGTAGCATTGTGAGAAATACACCAGGTTCACTATAGTTGTCAGATCAAAGTAACTCATCTATCTTTTACTTAACGATAAATTGCTATCAATTCTTTTAAACACTCCCAAAACAGTTTCGCTTATAAACATGCAACACAGACATGTAACGACACTACTATGATAGTCTTAATTGTAGAATGAAGGTTCGTTACAAAAGTTATTATTTTTTTTAACTCATTTCATTTTTTTTAACAGTGAACATAAGATTCACCAGAAATATATTAATAATTGAAGATTTTTATTAATTTTTCCATTTTTTGAAGGTTTTGTTGAGTATTAAAACAATTCACTGATTAACATTATGGAGATAATTCATGCACTGTTATTTTTTTTTTAATTGTTTTTGAAAAATATAATGTCGTCTTACAATATTTAAGAGCTCTTTGGCTCCAGGACACTTCTTGTTTAATGTTACACGCCCAATGAGTTCGACCATTCTTATACGTAGTATTTTGCGTATGTTTACCATTTTTAGCGTGTTTGTTGATTGATGAACAGGAAATTCTTCAGCGATATTATGAAATCACAACGCAATCTACGTTTTACCATCTCGCTTGTGAAAATCAATGAATGTCAAACGGAGAGATACACATTTAGTATTATGATTTTTTTATTAAAGATTAACTACATTATTATAATATTTTTATATCTATAGCCGCGGTCTTAAACGGCCTAAAGCTGTCTCGAGGAGACCTCAAAAGTTGAAATAACTTTTTACCTGAGTATATCATCTATACCAGGGTAACCTGGCAGTGCCTTTATAAACTTTCTCGCTTCTGCATTTTGCTTTTGTTCCTCTATAGCTTTTAATTTTAACTTTTCTTTATGTTTGTTTCTGGATATCGGATAACCTTCCCCTTTAAATTTAAGGAGTGCAGCTTCTTCGGTCTTCTCTTTAACGGTCATAGGTAGATTTTCCTTGGATGCCATAATGATAGCATAGAGATCGTTACAGAACATCAACGCCAGATAAGGATCTTCAATTTTCAGTCGTAGTATTATAGGCGTAAGAGTAATTTTTTTATCTAGAAAAAGTATTGAACTACATTAATTTCGTTACACGTATACCTTCTATGCTTATTGAGTTTTATTCTGTACTTAAACGGCTTGCGTAGCTGAGTGATTTGCCCGCCGGTTTCGAGGGTGACTGATGAGGTTATATTCGATACCCGATGTTGAAAATGAACTTATCTAAGGTCTAAACGTTGTAGTACCTTCGCTGACTCAAATTCTACATTATAGTGAAAACGTCAAGAAATGGAAAATATGATAATTTAAGGGGCAACTTTGTGAACTTTGCGATAAAACCCATTAAAGTATGACGTAGTTCTCTCAGCTCAATTACAGCTCATTTCAAAGTTATTTCTTTTTAGAAAATTAGTTAAAAATTAATAATTCTTAGTGAATTTACATTCTAAATTACTTTCTCCATTGAAAACTCCACACAACCAGGAATCGGCGACTTAAAAGACACCATACCCAAGATACACCTAACGGCAGTGTATAAATATCATTCATGCCCCTTCAGGAGCTAGGAATATTATGCACTTTCCCAAGGATCAAAAATGATCATCAAAATGACAAAATAAAAAATTTAAATAGAACACAAATTGTACTAACGTCTCATCGAAAGCGGTAACTCTTGCCTCGGTATTCCATAAAAAAGACCTTTTCTATCTCCAGCTATCAAGAGCATCTCCATTTGTTCTTGTAATATCAATTTAGGTTCCTCCCAATCTATATATTTTGGTAAAAACTTTTCATACAATCCTCTATACTCCCGCACGATCTAAAAATAATATGTAACGTTTTACTTTGCACTTACCTTTTACGTACATTTGAAAACGTATGTATGGTACGTGTAACAAAAATAAGTATATATTATAAAATAAGCTACACAAGATATCTGCTGACTCAGCCTCCTTTAACATGAGTAGATATTACTTTTTACGTTTTTTCATATTTCCAAAAACTATTTACCTTTTTTGTAGGATATGAGAATCGATGGACATGTGCTACAATATTTTTTCTCAGAGACCAAACATAAAACGGCTCCCACTCTATATCGACTATATCTTTGGGATAAACAACGTTGTCCGATCTAAGAGTTTTTTCAAACTCTTCACAAGTTGTCCAGTTGGGCATTCCCGCTTTAGTAATTTCTGGTAACTCAAAAGTGTTTCTAGAAAAGTGAGATATTTTCTCGCTTATGCTGATGTCACTTTTTTTAGTTTCAATATTATCAGTTCTCATTTTAGGGTGAATGTCTGGTAGAACAACAGCTTTAGCATTTTGGTTTTGTATTTTCTCAAAGTTAAACCACTTTGGTTGGTCGTCCTCAACTGTAGCGTTTTTAGTATTCACTTGATTGTCTTCTTTTTTCAAAAACTCATCCATGTATGCATCACGTGGACTTAAAAAGTTTTTATTCGATTTCAGAATTTTTACAAGTTTATTTTTGGGACGTTCTCGTATTTCTCTTTCTTGTTCTTGTTTGGTTAGAGGAAATCTCATATCTAACTCGAGCATATCGTAGGGTACTTTATACCCGAAACCTGGGTCATCAATACCATCTCTGAATATGTGACCGAATGGTACAGGTTTTGGTTTTTGTTCAGGTAATTCATCCATGTTTTCATTTGGTCTGTCATAGTTGGAAGCCTGTGATAATACGCTTGTTGTATGAACCGATAGAATCAAAATGAGACACAATACCATTTTTCTTGTATAGTACGGAGTCCATTTACATTTTATACACTGAAATCAGAGGTTCATAACATGGTGAACTGGGTTCGCTGATAAAGGAGAATGGGCAAAAGTCGGCTAAAATTACGTAAATTGCGCACTACGCATTTATTTATCAAAAATCTTCTCTTTAATTATTATTTATTACTTATAAATACTATTATATAATTATGCGGCGTTTAAAATTAACCGTATTAAAACAATTGCTAAACTGACTAATTTAGACTTATGATATGGTCTTGGATAAATGTCAACCATGCAACAATAGACTAGATAAGGCTGATCGCCTTATCGATTATAGAAAAATAAGGGATTAATCTGATATCGAAAAAATCTAAGATAAGACTTCCTTCGGTTTGCTTTTGAGCATGAACAAAGGTATGTTCGCTATTTCATAGTAAATTAAGAGACAAATTAATTGAATCTTAATATGACGCATACAAACTGAACCAACGATTGGCCAAGTTAACATTCATCACTAATCCCAAAGAATAGGCTTTGTTTATTCGTGTAGGCATAAGGATAAGGATAAGTTATCACGGAGGAAGAAACATGCGTGTTTAAGCGGTATTATACATAAATATTACAAAATGTTTGGTGTTATACATAAATATAACAAGATTCCATTAGAAAAACACCTAAATATCTTAAATTAAGATTTCTGGTGACATTCGTTATAATATTTTCTTTAGTGGTGAGTATATACCTACCTACTGCAATATAACTACGACTACCTACTAAGTTTCAAGTTATTAATCGACTTGACATGCGAACTTTCTACCACTACTTTTACAATATGAAGTAGGTATTTTAACTTTGATAATGTTAATTAGGTACTATATTAGACTAGTTTTTAATCGGCCCAGTCGTTTAAGAGTTTATCTTTTAAAATAAAAAATTTAATCTTTCCTTTTTTTAATATAGGTATAGATATGTACTTTTTCGCAATTAAATATTTATATTCGTTAGTCATCGACTGTTTGAAATATATTATTCATTTTATTGCTTATATATACGTAGACATTATAACAACATAACCTCAAAATCTCTGTTTAATATTCAGATATTCTCAAACTTCCGGCATAATTCAAAAATGGTTTTGTTTTCTACTCATTCTAGAAATAATTCTTTATCGTTTACCATTGGTTCCAACAATGTGCACGGTTACGCAAAAATAGCCGAACTCTCATAGTAAATTACCCATTCTCCTTTCATAATATTTTTGCGAACCCAGATTGTGAATACGCAAATTAATTATTTTTCAAATGCGTTACTTAATTTTAAAAATCAAACTTGCTCAACTAATTTATTAGGAAAGCAATTGACTCTTTCATAATTTTTTTTCTAAAAGTAGATACTACTGACATTTTTTTTTAAAGTAATAAATACTATTTAAAAGGTTTTGTTTCCAAAGTAGTCATTAATTTACAATGTAAAAAGAAATTGATATTTTAGAATCAAGTGAATATAAAATAGTATAACTACTTACGGATCGTTTTATCAGAAAAATATACATTGTTTTGTACCATTCATTAAATGTAGACACGAAATTTTATAAGTAAAAAAAACGTCAATTCGTTTGTAAGCTTACAAACAATTTGATGTCTTTTTCTCCCGCGAGAAATGCAAAATACTTCCTAATTATTTAAAGAAGATGTGTAGGAATAAATTATAATAATAGGCCATAAGGGACACAGGTACCTTTTTATCTTTAACTTTACCTTAAATGTAGTCCACTCATAAAAATAAAACAAACCCCGATAAAGGTTGACAATATCTGCTAGTGCAAATGTTTTTGTGGTTCTTGTTTCACTGCCTGTTACCTTTTACCATGTTTTGCATTTAGTCCTTCCTGACATTCAAATAACTGTACTGTTCATTACGAGAACTCGAGAAGGAGATACTATAACAACAAAGTATATGGTATACATAGAATATCTTTGAGTTCAAATAATTTGAGAAATATAGTCATGTTAGAATTAGAAACTAAACTGAAGTTCGCATGTTTTCGTTCAGTTTTGGTATTCTGTAAAAATACAGCGGCGAAAATAGTGATGTCACACCTTAAGGTGAGATCATACGAATTTTTTTGCAAAATTAGCATCATCTCAACTATATAAAAGATGTATACAAAAAGAAATAAAGTTTTGATTTATTTTTTTTGATCAAAGTTTTTTTATAACTGCATTAGTTTTTATTTTTGTGATTGTAAAAAGTAAAATGTAAGAAATCAAGGGTGCGCCTCTTTGCTCTCGATGCCTTTTTGTATAGGTACAAAGGGTCATAAGAGGTTCAATCAAATAAAGCCTTTATTACTTTTTTTATCAAACTATTGTAAATAGTATTTATTTATCTAAACGAACCACCTCTAATGCTGCAGCAGCGCTGTGCTCGACGCTGTATTTATAGCACTGCGGTTCGGAAACAACAACAATGATCGCTCAATTAATTTTGATAGGATAAATTAGCAATAAAACCAGTATGGGAAATTTTATAAACAATTTAATTATTAGGCAAAAATTGACATTTTAACAAAATCAGCGGCAATTTTTGAAAATATTAATAGTTGGATAGTCAGCCTCATATATAATGAAACTTGAAAATGAAAATTTCTTATGGAACAAACGTTCGTACTTTATGATAGAATACGCTTACGATAGTTCTAGTTAAATAAACGATGATTTGCTTGTCTATGAGTTAATAAATTTAAGTGGTTCTACAAAGATTGATCATAACTAATCGCTTTTAAACTAATAATTTAGATCTCAGAAAACATCGAGCATACTAGCATCTTTCGCTATTTCTACCTCCATGTTATTGTCATCATCATCTGAATCAGCTGGTGAAGGTGGTTCAGCAACATATTGATCATTGTTCGGGATTTTATATGATCGACCGAACGGATTCCAGAATCCTAGTTTATTAGCAGCTTCTTGTATCTGTTAACAAGAATAGCATGGAAATCAGTTAACGTATTGTCTAACTACAATATCTATCACAATCTCTTTCAAAGGTAAAGTGATAGCGATAGCGATAGTGATAGTGATAGCGATAGTGATAGCGATAGCGATAGCGATAGCGATAGACATGGGGCCATTCTTCACTTCAAAGTATTCAAAGTAATGGGATGATGACTTATTTTTGGTTGTTTATCCGTCAGGTAGAGTGTTAAAAAATATTAAACACGTATTTTTTTATTTTTTTTCGTAATCATAAAATTACGGCGTTACATTGAGTTGAAATTTCGCATGACGTCACGTTAGGGTACGTTTTCTACTCAACTGTGACGTAGCGAGCCCCCACTCCACAACTTTAATGCCTGTTATCTACGCATTCAAAGTCTTGGTCGCATCTGCAATCGTTAACAGCCACGAAAAGGGAATATTAACTTTACCCGTTCCTTAAAATTTGGTGACAGTTATTGTAGTGGGTTTGTGAAAAAGAACAATGGCTGAGTCAATAAAAAATATTATTGAAACTTTTTTAACACCCCATGATTATAAAAACGTTATAAGAATCGAGACTATTTAACATGTATGTATGTATAGTGATATATATGGATTATCACAAACTAGCTTTCCGTCAGCGGATCGCATGATCATGTATTATACATATATATCTTTCTCTCGTTACGCTCTATATTAACGAAAACCACATTAAAATTCGCTGTGTACATTATTCGATCACAGCGTACTGACACCGTGAAGCGACTTTGTTTTATAATATGTATACATAGATTTCTTGAATTACCTCATCTCCCTCAGGGTATTTATTACCAGGAGCCAACGCATAAGCAATTTGCCCTTTGCAGTTCATTATGCCAAGATATCCACCTACTGTCTTGAAACCAAACAATAGTTCATCTATGAATTGTACTGCAAAGAAATATACAACAGCTAGTAACAGACTCGGAAAATCTGTAAATATATCTATTTTCTCTCTAATATTTGTTTTATAAGTATTTTACATGAATTGTATTATTTGTTTCGAATAAATATTTTATTGATCAACATTTGGTTATTGTTGATGAAAAACGCTCACTTAATAGTCTATAAATTAAATAGTTTATTTTACTTTGTTGTCGTTATTTGATTGTAAGAGGTTTTATATGTTGGATAGATAACACGTATATTCATAATTTAGAACTGGCAACCCTGGCTAAATCAGGGCCATCGCAATTTATTCGATATAGCATTGTTAAGTCATACAATTGATTATTTTTCATGTATAAACGAAAAGCAAAACCGCCATTTCTAATGGCATTAATGATAGAACCACAATTCTTAATTTTACAATAATACTATGAATTGAGCATGAATAAATAAACAGAGAGGCTTCACAAATATCGCGAGTCAAAGTAATTGGGCAACAACCATAGAAAAATAACAATCAACAAAAAATATTTAAATACATTAATTATAGATACGCCATAAATAGGCAAATCATTTCCAATGTTAGAAGTAGACCTGATTGATTTATCAATATGAAGCCCTAACTGATCTGCTGACAGATTAATCAAATGTTTCAGTTATGCGGTAAAGCTCCTAGTTTCATAAATGTACAACCAAAGTTCAGAAGAAGTAAAGATATTAAAAAAAAATGAAATTGTCATTGTAAATGAGTATTTACAATCTATGGACAAAGTAGGCAACAATCGGTAAATCCCTGGAGTGTCAGTCTTGAAGAAGATACCGCTCACATCAACATTAGTCTCCATGTACAGCGCTGCATTAGACCAATTCACTGGTGAACGTGGTTCATAATGTAGGGTCTCTCTTACTCTTTTAATTAGCTGTAAATCAATTATTAAAATCGAGTTAAAATAATGAATTTAATAGGTTTACAAAAACACCATTAGTTGTAATTAATAAGCTAGGATTAGTAACTTACTTTAACAATAACAATCATGTTAATGTACCAGTTGAGCAAATAATAATGAATTATCATTTGGCAATGGTTGCATGACGTCATAACATAAACTGCAAACTATAACCGCCTTTTAGTTTCTCCGGTTAATTTATTATTTTACTATGCCAAGATTTAAAACTCATGTGTTCATAAGATTTGAGACGAAATAAAAGTTGCGTAACTTTTTTAATAATTAACTTATATTTCTAAAATTTTCAGTACCACCATTAAATACAATTTCACCACGGGCTCTAAAATGTCACTCTTATAATTCTTGGCTTTCACCTTGACACTTTATTGGCAGAAATAGAGCGAAGTGAAACTCCCACAATAAAAACACTAGCCGGATGATGAGTGCGCGAGACATTCCGTGCAGATACTGGGACATCCTTGCTACTTTTAGCGGACACTTTATTGTTTTGTCGGTTGAACTTTTTTTCGCCAGTAAAAATTTTCTTATCGGTGAAGAGTATTCAGTATCATATAATCCAGGCATCATGTCTCTTCAGCAGCAATGGACAACGTTCGCGCCGTAACTTACGAAGACGATCGTTTAAAAAGTGAACTTTTTTCACGGCTATAGGCCTTTACCTTAAGAGCATATTTCACTAAAACGCGCGAAATATTAGTCTGCAGAGCGAGTTTCTTCTGAGTGCGACATGGATTTCGGCGAAGTTGCTCTCGGATGATTTTGATGTTCGCAGGCGTCCTCACAGAACGTGGCCGACTACCCCTTTTGCGATCTTGCAGAGAACTTGTCTCTTTGTACCGCTGTATTGTGTAATAGACGAAGTTACGGCTTACAGGAAAACTTTTCAGCTCGCGGAATATCTGCATCGGTTTTTTTCCCGTCTTAAATAGCGAAATGACATTTTCATGTAATTATTTCGTTGCCTTAAGCACGAGAAAATATACAAATTTAAAAGTTTTAGTTAAACTTAACATTCTAAATTCAAAATCAATAAAAAGAATAACAGCCAGTATCATTTTATTTTATTTTTTCAGTAAAAAGTTTGTCTCAACTTATGAGCATACGAGGTAATTATTGCAGAAACTCTAATGGAAATAAATTGTTACACCTACTTACCAAAATATCTGGCACACTGAATCTAATAGTATAACTATCTTCATGCTGACAATTCCAAAAGTAAAATATTATCCAGTCAATATCAACAACAGAACTAGGATCAAAAGTGCTATTAGCTACATATTGACTGCAATTTGTCCAATTTCCAGTGCTACTCTCATTGGCCAATGTTGCATGGATCTGTGTCTTCTTTCCTTCTGTATTAATTATAAAAACAACTGCTAATATTAATAATAGTAAAGCATGTCCAACTTTTGACAGTCCAATGAATTCCTTATGGACCCGTGATATGTTAAGGTTGGTTAGGAAGAGTTTCGATTCCGATTGCATAATTAAAAAAAAAAACACTTTCTCCTTTTCGTTATCAACTTATACTGAGAATCATTCGCGTACGCATGTTTTTTTATATACAAATTTATTGTTTGTTTGTTATTGAATATTTAAAAGGAAATCGTTCTCAATTATATTGTTTATTGATATATACGAGTCATTCTACCACTGTAATGTCCGTGGGCTTCTGTGGACTGAATAACTTCAGTGATTGAAAAAAAAATCTGTATCTAACTAAAACCGAAACCTTGTTAATATTTATTTAAATTATTTATCAGCTGTGATTTCGTACGCGTACATCATATGTTGTAGCCTATGTCATCCGCGTATGCTGTAGCTGGTTTTCCTTAAGTGAAAGAATTATTAAAGTCGGTCTAGTAGTTTTAGAGCCTACTCAATGCATACAAACAAACAATCAAACTTTCCTCTTTATAATATTAGTATATGGTAGTTTATAACATATTTATAATAACAGTATTATCACTATCTGTTATAGTATACCATTTAAACTTATTACTATTGGCACACTGCCACATATTTTTAGATAGCTATTATAAGCGATAAGATATCTTTACCCACTAGAATAATGAAACTTTCTATAAACTTTTCATTTGTCTGTGAGTAATAAATAGTTCATCTGTTGTCACGTGACTTCGCGCATGTAAATTATAGCCTATGTCAACCCCCTTTGATGTGGCTGCCCGTAGCTGAAAGAATTTTTAAAATCGGTCCAGTATCGGTAGTTTCGGAGCCTATTCGATCCAAACAAACAAACAATCAATCTCTCCCTTATATTTGTAGCAATGAGGAAAAGCCAAGAAGGTCTATAAATGTAAGACTTCTGCAAGTGTTTCAATAAAAAAAAAAACATTTCAAGGTTTTAAATTAAAATGTAATAATTTATTTAGTAAGGAACATTTCGTCTTTGTTCTTTTCTCCCGTACAGGCTGGATAACCGTCGCCCAGTTGGAGTGGTATTGCAGTAGCGAGGACCTCAGAACGGTAGACAGGCTGCGTCGGACGTGCTGACAGATTTGATACACCGATGTGACAATCCATCATTAACAGATACTTCCCTTCCCGTAATATCTTCAGTTGAAACTTCAAAAGAGGCACGGACTGCTTCATCGGCGAGATATCTAGACGATAATGAAGTAATATATTTTTTTAATATAAGCCTTATTTGATTAATCATAATAAGAAGAGCTCGATAGCGCAGTGGTTTGCGCGTTCGGACTGTGATACGGTTATTAAGTAACTTTCGTAATGGCCGTTCATATCATGGGTGGCCTCAATTATTATCTTTCCGTGCTTCATAAGACACGTCAAGCCGTTGGTCCTGGCTGAATTTGCATTCGTTAACGCTTACCAATCTGCACTAGGTCTGAGAGGTGGTCACAAGCCATTCTCCCCATTAGATTCAATCCATAGAGAAGATATTTTTTGTGGTGGTGGTGGTGATGATGGCCGTACCGCTAAATCTTAAAGGAATATGTAGGGCTTGAAAGTGATTGTCTAACTTACGGGATAAAATATAATATTATCAATGTTGACATAAACAGTTTATACATTTAATACAGAAGTAAAGAAGGAAAAGTTCAAGCGCAAACAGTTAACGCACATGCAATAACACAATGACATTAAATCAAAAGACAATAAATATTACATGCACTCCGCGATGTAGTTAGAATGACAATCTTTCTTTCTAGCGTCTTTCAGTGCACGCATGCGCGCGGCGCGGCGTCTCGCTGGTCGCGCTCGCGCATGCGTGCTTATTACTCGCTAGTGAGTACGCATATCGATATTACCGATATCATTTAGTTATAGATAATTATAATGTTTTAGAAATTGTAAATAAATATAAAATAAGAAATTTGTATATACATCTAGTAGTAAATTAGAAAGTAGCCTACATATTAATAGGTTGGTGATGATGATGACTAATTACTTAATAAAAGTTTGTTGACGAACGAAATGGTTGTAGGTATACTATTTTGAAATCCGCGTGGTAAACACAAACTGAACTACCTTACTATGTCAACTTACTAGTCAATCAGAGATATCATTGGAACGTTGGTTTCTTATCATTCGAGTTTCCGAAAACCAACAAATTGCTATGTTCTTTATAAATATAAAGCTTCTGAGAACTCCATTCAGATATATTTTTACTAGCGTTAGATATTCTTAACTTGGCGTCAGACTGCCCAAGTAATTATATCACAAAGTTGTATTAAAAAGACTTACTGCCATCTCTTATAACATTGGGTACACCAAGGAAACTACCGGCAGCACCTTGGTCGGCAAAAAGCAGTAACTCATGGCGAGCCATGCCCATGGTGGCATGCAGGGTGGCGGCGTCCCATGCCGGTTGCGTTTCCATGTACTCATACATGTCATTCCATATTCTCTGAATTAACTGTAACGAGTTTGAAACAATTAAAGTTTTACTTATTGAAAGGGTTATGAAGCGCAACAATTTAAATTATTTTCTATTTTTAAAGAGCCGAGTGCGAATCAGACTAATATTTCCACCTACTAATATTTCCCGTATAACACGGCTGCACATTACCACTATATATAAATTGTAAAGTCGAGAAAGACAAATTTGTATAACTTGACGTGCTGTCGACTGTACTAAGGCAAAAATTTTCCAATTAATTTTGAACGTAACATGCTTAATGCTTAATATTGATTAAAGAAAACCTTCCTAATCTTGTGTGCCTTCGACTGTACTTTATTTAACTATCTGAATGTCGTCTACCTGAGGCGTCGCATTCCTGAATACAATATCCAAACATTTATCATCCATCTTCATATTCCATGTGTAATAAATACGCCACTGTTTACCAACCACCATCTCTGTCTCAAAATATGGCTCTTCTGCTAATTTCTTGCACATCTCATTGTTTTTCTTAATTGTTGTCTCTCTTACTCCAAATGAATAGACCTGTGAAATAATTAGAAGTATTATAAGTGAACTTGGCGCTGCGCTAGCCATCTTGTTAATGCACTGTGGGAACGATTGGTGCCAATTTAAAGGTTCACAATGAGACCAGTTTACATTCGAAATGTCTACATTACAAAGTACAATTGTCCCGAGGAAATAAGTTTGTAAATATGTCGTGGGTAGTGTTAAGAAATACTAGTAACTTATATTTTCAATAATTGAAAAAAATGGTATGTGATATCGCTCTTTATTCACTTAAAATTTTATTAGAAAATGGGACAAGATGCTATGCAGGTCGATTAAATTTTATATTATAGGACGTTTAATTAAATCTTAATGTAAGATACAACTAAATGCTTTAACTTTAAAGCTTTTTGTAAAAACAACATTAACAAAAATAAGCCTTTTAAAATAAAGTTTAAAAAAGAATGCAATAAAATTCAAATCTATTATTTTCAGAGGTAAGTATTTTAAAATAAAATCTATTTTCTCATAAAGATAAAATTCTAGTATATAGTTATCACTATCACCAGCCTATTAATGTTTCCTTTTCTGGGGCACAGGAACCCCATTGATGAAATCGAATAGGGAAAATGGGCCATAACCCATCCAGAAGGCCCAGTGCGGATTGGTGGGTGTTAATAACTGCAAATTCAGCCACGACCGCCGACTTATTATGCTATAACGAAGCAAGGAGGAGCTCGAAATAATATTTTTTTAATCAACCATCCTATGACCGACCCTTGTGAAATTTGCTCATTTTCTTCATCGCAAACCGTTGCGCTAACCATTATACTATATTAAAATTAGTTCAATTAAATTTTTTATAAATCTAATCACGATTTACACTAAAAGAAATATCACAATATCAAATTACCCTTTACGATAATAAGACAATAAGAGTATTCTTTTAACAGCGACCTTTATTGTTTCATTAGTATTTTGGATTTATCGGTATTATATTATACCGGGAGCAAAATACTACTCCATACATATTCACAAACCACTCGAAAGGTATTCGCGTTAGAAATTAGTCTTTTCTAATAAGGCACAGACCTTCCATAAAGATAGAATCAAATAGAAACTTCAGGCATAATAAAATCAAAGAGTACGTTGACTCATATATACGTACCGTAAACAAGTTTGTATGTGAGAGCATCCGTGCGTATGCGTCGTCGCACGTAGACACTTACACAATTTATCGATGTTAAAGGTACGAGCGGCAACTCGTCACTCTGCGCCGCTTGATTATGAATAACCTATAAGCGACAGCCCTACATGTTTGTGATAATTACGCTCGTTCAGAGCGAGCGTGCTCTTTGGGTTTACTATCCGTCCGGATCATAACTCACTATGCCACCGAGATGCAAACAGAACCCATGACCTTACAGCTTAGGTATCTTCTGAAACACGGACAAGCTCGAGATAATAAATTTCTGGCCACCCATTCTATAAGCAGCCCTTTAATTACTTAAACTCCATGTCATAAAGCGCGCTAACCAATAAACCATTTAACTGAATATATATCTTTTTTATTCCCTTCAAACGTTGCTATGGTATTTCATTTCAATTGATACTTAAAATAATAACTTTAGAAATCAGACATCAAAATTAGGTCCACGGAGCATGATGATAATTGGTTTCAATAATTTTATGTGTATTATTTATAAAACAATTATTAGTCTTCGTTTAGGTACTGCATATTAAAGTAGTAAAGATAGAAATTTGGCAAACGGTCCCTAATTACTGAAACGTTAATGACAACTGCAATAGGATATGTAAAGTATGATTAACTTACATAACATATTTTAATAATATTAAAATATTGATGTTGTAGGTATGCAATTCAAACAATTTCTGCTAAGTTTCATACCAGCCCAGTACAGTCCTCTACTGTGAATTTGCTAAATTTTAACGGTTTTCTAAGTGCTTTTACACCAATGAGTTTTTCTAAGCTATCTGAAATTCTAAATGGATTAAATGGAAACAATTTGTAACATTGAAAAATAAAACCATTTCAAATTTCGAACTACTAACTTTTAATTAAAAATAAAAGTTGACTTATTTTGAATGTTGATTCGTATTCTCTCGTTTCAAGCATTGTAACACCAATCGCGTGTACAAAACACCAGCCCATTTGTTCAGCCGTGGGCGTACCGACCGGCCACCGATGCGTATCTTCGAATAGGCAGAATTGGTGGGCGGAATATTATTACTGGTCGTTATGTGCAATGACAGCATCGGCCCGCTGTAATGGCCAAAACGCCCCAGCGGTGGCAATGGAATTAAAAAAAAATGATTAAATAGGTTCTCCGGCTGATACATTAGTACTTTTTTGTTCTCATTTGTTGTCTATGTGGTAGTTCATTTACGCGGTAATTTTAGTACTCTACAATCGTCGTTAGACAACGACGTATCAAAATGTGAAATAATAGATATTTAAAGCCTCAAAATGATTAATATTGCGTCGTCTTCATATGAAATTAATACCAGTCAAGCGAATGGTGGGTTTTTTCTTGATTTAAGGTGATCGCCTATTTAAATTGAAATGCGGTCA